AAGAATTCTAACTTGTCTGTACAGTACATAATAAAAAAAAAACTATATGTGAATGGCATCATTACAGTATTAACATTTGTAAAATAACTTGACATAAGAACCATACAGTTCACTTGCCAATGAATGTAGTCAACTTGAATTTGAACATGTGTTCAGTGGATCTTGGGTCCATAATCCTGTGATATCAGGTATATTACAACACATACATGGGCTAAAGGCAAAATCATAATATACGGTATACAAAACCCTTCAAGATACAAACAAGATACACTGTACCAATAACTGTAAGAGCCCACATTAAACATCCATTAAAAAGTTGGAGTACAATATGATTTAAAATATACTGTACAGTATTCAGAATACTGTTGGGAAGGTGCCCTGACCATCCTTATTTGGCAAAAAATGTCAGTTGTTTTTTAAAGCTTAATCAGAGAGTAACCCTGTTTAGTGTGACACAAACACACATTAAAACCTCATACTATCCACTGAGCTGGATACACTAAAGCATTATGTACTTGATATTTAGGACATTTTTTTTTTTTTTTTATTAAAGAAAGCTCCCTGGTTATTATTAAACATTTCCCATATAGGTTTTACACCAACTTGTTTGTATAAACCATTACCATACTGCACAGTTTGACATGATGACTCATAATCCCTATGAATGTCCACTACAAACTATACATAGTAAGTGAAAGGTTTAGCATCTGCGGAATACGGTCTCTCTCGGTTTCCTTGGGGAGAATAAGGCTTCTCTCGGTTTCCTTGGGGAGAATAAGGCTTCTCTCGGTTTCCTTGTGGAGAATAAGGCTTCTCTCGGTTTCCTTGGGGAGAATAAGGCTTCTCTCGGTTTCCTTGTGGAGAATAAGGCTTCTCTCGGTTTCCTTGTGGAGAATAAGGCTTCTCTCGGTTTCCTTGTGGAGAATAAGGCTTCTCTCGCTTTCCTTGGCGAGAATAAGGCATCTCTCGGTTTCCTTGTGAAGAATAAGGTCTCTCTCGATCCATGGGTAAAGAATGGTTCCTTTTCTGACTTGCTGGTAGAGGATAGGGTTCTTCATCACCTCTCTGGTGACTTGATGGTGGAGAAAGGCGTCTTCGTTGACCTTGTGGTTGAAGACGTGCCTCCTCCTTACCCTCGATTAGGTTCACGCGTGGAAATTTCTCTGCAATTAGGAAATGTTAAGGATTGCTGAATTTAGTGATTATTTATTCACTTGTGTGTGAAGAAAACATTTTATAGTGTGTCTGTGGGTTAACAAATCAGTAGGGTCATGGTAACTTTGAACTCTCAAACTAACAGAATCTTCAAGTGCACCGGGGAAAAATGTACAGGATATTAGGTTTAGGGTGTTCATAAATGGCATGATACTAATTTAAAGTTCACAGACACAATATAAATATCTTGGTTACACACACACACACACACAGGGTCGGTGAACATAATTGTGCTAAATTTAAACCTCTATGATTCCTTCAAGTTATCACTAAAGTGACAAGAATGTGTCAGAATAAGAAAACCAAAGTTGAGGCAAAGAATACCTGACATAAGTAGTGATGTTACATAATAGAGTTATTTAGAGTCTGGCTATTAGCACTATATTGTCTCACATTACTATTTAAGTTAAACCCAGAATATAAGTGTGTATGAGTATTGTATTTCTACTGATTATACTACTTTTACTGTATTCTCTGATCCATATAAAAAAATTTATGGGAAATACAATCAATGTATTCTGGGCTTTACTATGGTTTAGGAGAGGCAAACATAACAGTGAAGCTTCTGCACTGTGGATAAGAAAGATGAAAATATTTAGTTGTGTGATAAGAGTTGGGTATAATATATAATCGCAACATTTTAAAGAGATGCAGCTTGTATGTTGTTGGAAAGATAGGAGATCAGATTTAATCTCGAGAAGTACAAGGACTGTCAGAAGTGAATGATGATGAAATATGACAAAATGGAACCAGTGACTCTTTTTAGACAGGAGACAAGCACCATATCTACATGTTTACTGCATCCATACCAGAACTACTCAGCCTAAATTTAAATGTCTCTGGTGCAGTTAATGACATGTTAAAAAGGTTTCTGAGGTTGAATATAAGAGCAAAACTTACTCATGCATATGCATCCCTAAAGTACTCACTCAGGTTGCTCATATTGGAAGGTCTAGATTTCTCATCCCAAGGTTTTTGGTAGCCAGGATGTTTATCATAGTGTGGACTGTCATTATATTGTGGCATTCTAGATGGATCCCTGATGGAGGAGGATCTTACAAAGCCTGGCTCTGGTTCTTGGGTGCGGAAATTTTGTAAAGAGTCGTGTCGTCGGTGAAAAGGTTTAGATGGAACTTCTGGGGATCTGTCTCTTTTATGTGCATAGCCATCATCAGGAATGTAAAAATTTTGGACAGGGGCTGCAGGAAATACTGGATCATTGCGGATCATCTTAGAATTCCTTAAAGCATTGACAACAGGCTCAGGTACAGAGGCTGGATTGGCACGCATGCCCTCCAGGTCGTGTGGGTTATCAGGTTGGAAGTTTGAGTTGAGATAGGTGAAGGGACGTTGTTCTTTAGGTGCTGGTGGTCTCCTTGGAAGTAGAGGCCTGAGAGGGAAGAATAAAACTAATATTTAGTACAGGAGTGTAGCTTACCAGGTTGGATAAAGAAGATACTGCAAACAGAGATCTATGAAGAATATTTTGGACATTTCTAAATTATATTTTGGAAATTTAAGAACATGAGTAAATATGATAAAGCATTAAACTTCCAGTACTTTATGCTTCTGTATTAACAATTAGATTTTGTAGTAGTTATACAAGGATTGATCTGAATGGTAATGCTAAATAAATCTTTTGTGAAGCATTAATCTATGACACGACACAGTAACTTAACTTTTATGAACATCTGTAAAATTTAATATGCAGTAAATAATTTGTTATATACTTCAAATGTTACACTACTGTTTATGGACAAAAAGTTATCTCACTTATGGATGAAAATATTTATTATTCTAAGCTATCATTGACATTAAAGTATTATACGTAATTCCTCTTAAAACTGCGATCTACAATTCAGCTTCTAATCAAGTTTGTTTTACTCACTCCTAAATTATATTGTCTAGTAAAATAACTGATTTACATTATCTTTCTCATAAATGTTTTCCTTGGTATTTTGGTAATGGTGAAGCAGAGGGCTAACACCACGAGGAATTGTTCGATTACGTTCATTTTTTCATAGATGTTCTTTGGATGATAGTATATACTGTAATAGTAATGGTATGACAACTTTTTATATTAATTGTAAGTATTTTCTTTTAATTTTTAATTTTTCTCTATCTACAATCATAAATCACCCAATACTACTTGAACAAGGAACTGTCCACACATGGGTCCAGTCAAGTGAAACTAGAGAATAAGGAAGCTCTTTATGTAAAACAGAAAGTCTGTAGCATAATTAAGTGCAGGATATGATAACAATTGTGAAAGTTGGCTGGAAACACTCACGGTTGTAAGATTACTGGAGCTGCCTGCACACCCGCAAAGGCCCTGTTGTCCACTCCAGGTTGGCTGTTTTGTTGCCACTGTTCTTGTTGTACCATCTGCATATGCTGCTGCTCCTGTCTTACTTCTGCGCGTGCTGCTGCATCTGCTGCTGCTGCTGCTTGCGAAACCGCCATGGCCTGTTTTCTGTCTTGTTTCTGTTGTATAGTCGATGTCAAAAGTCTTGAACACTTAGCAATACCTGGCATCTACTTCTGAGTTATACATATATGATTGGGATATATTAATTACACTACTTATCATCACATATTATGCCTGAACCACAAAATGGGATAAAATTCTCCTTAATACATAAGATCTTCCGGTACTTACTGTACATGTCAAATACTGTCAAGTGTTCAAGACTTTTGACCCCGACTGTACATCAAATTGATGTAAGCGTGGACACACATTTCTATTCATAGGGAAGTAAAATACTGTACATCATGACTGTTGGTTTTGCTGTCTAAAGTAAGGTTCCTGTCATTATGTTTTTTTTGTTTTGTTTCATACAGTTTGTGTCCAGTGTGCATGGTCTCTTATCATTCCCTGACATCATCCACCAAATTATGACAAAATTTCATCAAAGCAGTCACTGTTCAATCCAATTTTTATGTAGTTTCTCTTGAGCCTTCACACAATCACCTGCAGTATCATCAGTCTCCCTTACCAGCATATCATTGATCAGAAATTCGAAATGGTTGTCATTTCACTGTACTAGATTCATTAGGTTGAGGAGGTAGCAGCCTGCACAGTAGGAGATAGGGTTTAACCAAATACAAACAAATAAGGAGGGGAAAAGTGAAACAAAGAAGGCAAAGAAGATATTTTGTGATAGGGCAGTCTCACTGTGGTCATCTCTCTTGGGAGCTCCCCAAGAAAGCGAGGTAATGTACACATCATTATATGTACACCTACCAGTAGCTATAAACCTTTTTTGTGAGTTTCTTCAACCTCTCAAATCTTTCTCACATAATCTTTTCTAAGTCTGTCTTCAAAACTTTTTGAGCCCCACCTTTGAAGTAAGGAACATTTTCCACTGCAAAATTTACTGTACAGTAATAAGTTCTCAGTGTATAACAATATGGAATAGTATCTGATAGAAAATAAAAAATGTCTTTGGACAGTAACTCACATTAAATTCATCTAAGACTCCTTCTGGTGATGATAAACAATATTTTTCCTCTTTGCAACAGTTCTCAGATATTCTCAGATGCCAGAAATATATAGATTAAAGCTAAAGATAATATAATACAATATTTATAGACACCTACTAACTATGGATAGTTTCTGATGCTGCTCTTATTTGTTGATAAAATTAAATTACTACAAAACCATCCTCAAATATTCTTCAGGAGGCACTAAAGCCTCCTGACGAAGTTAATATATGGCGTCCCTTCTGCAATGAACTTCTGTAGCCCACCGTGTAATTTTAATTAGTTTTTGTGGTCTATTAAGGTTTAATGGGAAACCTTAAACTTACTGGAATGCATCTACTAAAATCTGATTTGATTAATACATGTAAAGGCAGTGAGAAGTACAATTAGGAACCTGTAAATTAATTATATGTGAATCATTTTAATAAAACGAAGCTGTGCTGAGTGAAGCACACATGCAGAAGTGAAATACACGTACCTTGGTACATTTTAATTTTTGAAAGTACAGCACTGTATATTAATTTGATATTCCATCATGCATAGAATGTCTTGAAACTTGCAAAGATCATAAAACTAACGAGAAATTAAGAATGACTGACCCTCTTCAGTCGAGTTTGTTTGGATCTCTTATGGTAAGATTTGCAGAAAGAGTTGAAGGCAGTGGCTAACTCCTCTATGTTGGTGACCCATAAGAAGAACAGTCGGAAGTACATAGAGAGGATCCAGACCATCGTGGTACTGTACCCACCACCTTTTATCTCATCCTGAGAAAAATACAAAGTTATGTTCTCTCACATAGTCTGACATTCTCTCTAAGGGTGTCACACAGGTCCAGCCTCATAAGGTACAGTATATAATATCTTTAACCCCATTTTTCTTACTGTTTACCAAGAAAGCCATTAAAAGAATACTGTAGTGCCATTGGGTTTTATTTTCCCTGGAAGAAGAAAAATGGGTTTAATATATATAGTTCTATGAAACCAGACTTGTGAGACACACTATATATAAAATCATATTCAGGAGATATTTTCATTTCAAACAATAAACTACTGTAAAGAGTATAGTTAATCCAGTACTAACTATGACATCCTCAATGAAGAAGACAGAGACAGCAAGGTCCATGATAATGAGTGTGAGGGTGATGAGAATCCAGGGAAGGTAGAGCACCCACTGTTTCCTGGCATTCCCTGCAACACAACCTTAGCTTAACTTTCCTCTCTTTAGCAGGAATGTTTTTAGGAATAAAGCCTGATCATTGCAAAGAACATACAGTATATGTTAGCCAGAATCAGATGATCAGACTGTTTAAAAAAATACCCTGTATCAGCTTTCTCCTGTAGCAACATATGATCATTGCATCTTTAACTACAGTAGGTTAACTCAAATTGACTAAAGAGACAAACTAACTAACTTACCATAGAACAAGATGAGACATGTTATAAACCATGCAGAGTGGAGGCTTAAGTATGTGATCTGGTAGCTGTAGTTTGCCTCAACACTGGTCTCATGTCTCCTGTTGCCCAGAGGAAAGAGTTGGTTGATCCAGTCTGGAGGTTCATAAGTGAAATTGCCGACACTAGGGCATTTTTCACCATCTGTATAAAATAAGGTAAATAGTTATCAAGAGTAGGTGGTAAGAGCACATGCATAAATTACCTGCACATAAAATAGGTTCGGACTTACTCACTGACACTCGACCACATGTTTCTTGCTAGACAGAATTCATACCGGTCCTCGAGACAACTGCCCAATTCAGATCTAAGATCAGAATGATACTTGGCTTTATTATTCTTGTGTATGACAGTCAACCCCAGCATTTTATGAAGGATTAAAATGTAAAGGATGATCCATAGCCAAACTATAGTAGGATTACACCAATATGTGTATCCATCAAATGTTAAAGTAACCTGGGAATAAATGTGACCTACACAGTTGAGGTTCACTTTGCTCTACACATACACACACACACACTCTATCTCTCTGATACTCACCATAAAAGTACCAGGCCCAGAATTTGTCAAAGCCGATGGGGGGTCTATCTTCAGGAGGAGGGATGATACAGTTGTTCATACAGATGAGCACCAAGTTCAGGACCCCAAATGCCACTGCCTCCACCTGAAGCAAGAGACAGAGTTGTAGTCATCGTCGTCTTACTGTGTTATATATGAATTCTTTACAATGCATTAATGTTATTTTAAATGTCACCTAAGAATCAACCAGCATATTATGCATTATATGTTATCAGCCTTGGTTGCTATAAAGCTGAAAATTGTTATTGTGACTTGTGCCGACTTTTTATCTGGTGTCTGATAACGTTTATCCACTGATTAGCTCCAAGTGAAGATAAATAACCTAAAACGATGACTCGCAGTCCGCCTCTAAGTTTTATCCACTCTGCCTAGGAGTCGTTCGTGGTTTACCAAGATCCTTGTTATGATGTTGTTACTTTAATACTATCACAACCCACTCCTTTAATCCTTCAGTTCTCTACTTGTTCACCACATGAGTCATCAATGGGAGAGCCAACATAACATAAGTCAGAACCAGTTTTTAAAAGTGTGTGTAAAATTAAGTTAAAATCTAATGAATTTCACTTGAACTCCCATTTAGCTGTGAAACATAGTGGTTGTGGGACCTAATTGTATGATGACGGTGTGTCAGTTACTCACCCATGGAGCAGTGGAATCTGACACACTACCCAACTGACACCCTGACCTGTTTTAGCTTTCCTCATGTGTGTAACATCACAAAAAACCTACCTTTAGCTACAAAACCTCAGCACTTTTTTAACAGAATGAAGTAGTATATGGGCATTAGAGCCTCTGACTAAAGGAAATCGTCTAATTTGGAGGATCTTTTATGACAATATATATGTGCAAAATATAACAGTCTTGCAAACACCGTAACTGTGGCTCCCGAAGCTCTTTTTGCTCCTACTTACATTATTAAAACAATAAAAACTAAAATAACTTTATAAACTATCATTTGTATTTTATATTTTGTTTTTCTTTCTTTAATTTAACAAAGTTGACATTAATATTATTGTGAATCTTTCTAAAACCCACTTCATTGCTATCACAGACAGGTGAGATTATAACCTTCGAACCACCTTAAGATTAGTATTTTTATATACATTATATACAGGTATTAAAATGCTTAATGATTGTTCCACATTCAGTACAGCAATAACCATATTATATATTCTATATTTAGTGCAGTAAGTTTATGTATTTTATATTTGTGTAAATAAAATATTAAAAAAAAATTATGACTTCTATTATCCTGTAATATAAGTCTATATACAAAGATTAGGATGCTAAATTACACCATCTTCAACCTCAGATTATTTCCTAAGATTCAGTGCAAATGGCGTGAAAGGGTTCGCTACGCTCGCCAGACTTCTCAGTAATTTGGAATCCCCCCCCCTACTCAATTTCTGGGTGTGCCCCTGACCATTATGGCATCAGTTTCACAATTAGATTTTATTGTATATAAATGTGTTTGTTTGTTTCATTGTCAGTTTAAAGACAAATTAGATCACCTGAAGTTTAGTCTCCCACTTACTTTGATCTTAAAATTTTAACCACTTGAACACTAAACTAACCAAATATAATTTTATATAATCTAATCTACCCCCCTGATCTGAAAATTTTGATGTTAGAATCATTGAGAATTGAGACTTGTTGAGGTGGGGTGAGGCATGTACTCACGGCTGTAAAGATGGCGGTGATGTAGGTCCTCTTGTAGGGATCACAGCAACACTGTTGTAACATCTTGACTGTGTCTATTAGTATTTGGTTCTGGGCTACTTGAAGTCACACTTAGGCTTAATTTTCTTCACGTCACACTTTTACTGTAATGAACTCGGGTCACGTCTCGTGGGTCCACAAGTGTTCAGATTTAACACTAAGAACAGTTAGGAATTCTAGTTGTACTTAAAGGCACCTGTTGTTGCCTTTCAATTTGGGATTATGAAGAACTGGGGATTACTTGTATTAACCTTTATAGTCAGAGTTGCCAAGTTATGGGGGCCACACTTTTATAAGGGTCTAGGACCTTTGTGGGGCCACATTGCTGCTGAAGTCGTGCCACCACGAGCTGATAGCATGGCAGTCACATGATGTCATGAAGTATCACTCTCTCGTTCTGCTGTGGCAACACTCCTGTAACATTACAAAATTCTGAGGTTATTGTAACAAATGATAATACAGTACTGTATTTTCCTTATCTGTAAACTGACATAACAGTATTATTGTACTACTTTACATTAGCTTTTCCTTTTATAACTACCTACTGCAACAGTGTTATTTCTGTCATCTTATAAGGATTGGTGATTCTTGGCTAGCATGTTTCTGTTGTTATGAGTGTTAATAAAACAGTACAAAGGAACAGTTTTCATGGAACATTCGGCTTATAATCGCACTAACTTTTTTTAGAATTTGTTTAATAATAAGTAGATATAAATATGAATAATGAAAATGAGTTTCTTGTATATTTTTCTTATTATCAAACTACAGTATAGTATACAAAATGTTACATGTAATGAACAAATTTTGGTACACAGATCACCACACGAAAGAGTTAAACAACGGTGTCATTGGGATTTGTGCAAAGAAAATACAGTACACCTTAACTTTGTTGCAGGAACTACCTTAAATTTGACATGCACAACACTCCTAGTTAGCTCAGAGGGAGATGGGGGATCTCTCCATTGAACATTCCAATATCATCAAAAAGACTAGATCATTTTAGAAAACATCCCACATTGCCTTTAGTATTAGAGTACCAGAATGCATCTTACTGTGTTGCTCAGACCAAAACACCAACCTGAATTGTCCCGCTCCCTTCCAGCAATGTAAATAATCTTTCAAGAGGAGACAAGTGCCGAGAATGATATCTGAATCGATATCGAGTTGTCCAAGTACGGTTTGTGTTGATGGTCAGGTTATCTTCCCTCTTATTTCAAACCAACATGTCCAGACTAATATTTATCGTGTCATCTTCCTTACATAATATTATGACGTCAGTTGCACTTCATCAATTTCCACAAATGGCTAGTCTCATATCACCGGTGACGATGTAAGATCCATTAACCCCTTCTAGGGATGCCACTTTTAATATTTCATTTGGCTAGCACCCGCCGATATTACTCAACCCAGAGGGGATCCTGTACGCAAGTGCTTAAGATGGAAATTTCGTAGCAAATATTACGTTGTACTTGAAAGAAAAACTATGATTCAAACGGAGAGAAGCTAAGGGAAAAATATGTAAAATTTAGTGTTCAATTCTTTGATCACAAGAGGACGTTTGTCAGGGTGTTGACTATCACTAAATGATTGGCTAAGGCTATAGTCCATAAAAAAAAAAAATGGTTATCAGAAAACCTTATCAGCACATTGACGTTGGTGGACCTAGTTAAGCTGAGTAGAAAACATAGCTGCTGTTGGTGATAAAAGTTAATAGGACCATTGAAAAGTGTTGGGAACTCCATTATTTACTCTTAAATATACAATTCATTTTGTCTGTCAGGCAAAGAGGTTTGGGGTCAGGCATTAACGATAAAACTTTACAAAACCTTCCATCTTGGTAGAGTTCATGAAAGGTACAGTACAGTACAGTACTTACAAAACTGATCCACCTCAGGGAATACCAGCAGTCTAAGCACAGGTAATGAATGAAGACGCAACTCTAAAATGCCTATTGGTGCTCTAGCATATGCACATTACAGAGGCAGATCCCATATATCTTCAGCTGCTTTATCAATAATATACACATAACAATGATAAGGTTCAGAGAAACTAGTAATTACACTATACGACATGGGTGAAGTCACAAACACAATGAGTCTTTTTGAACATTAGATTGTTCGGGATTAAGTGTGGGTGACGTAGACAATAAATGGACAAAGTACATCAACACCATTACGGAAGCTCACCACTACTTTTTACCTGAGGCTATACCCAACTGACCTGCCCTGTGTCATATCTTTGAGTTAAAATGACTTATGAAGCAGTGAAACAGGGCCTTTTATTTCAAAATAAACAATCACTGCAAGGTCCAGCATAACAATTATTCGCAAAATACCCGCTGTAAAAAGTCTTACTGTCCAGCCAAACGTCAGCACATTGAAGCAAAGCAACATAGGTCATTAGTATGTTAAACTCATTAGATAAAAGATGCATTCCCTCACCTCCCTTTGCCATTTGACCAATAATGAAGTGGCCAAACAAACTAACAATTATTTTGCTCACACAAGACACACACTGGTAGACACAAGACACACTGAGGAACATTGGGCACACTGACCTCTGCTTTGTGGTTGGGATGGTTGTAGCTGTAGTAGGTTGCAGGTAGTGTGTGCTGGTTGTTATGTGTGGTACATACATCTTCTCACTTATCAGTATACATATGATAACAGATAAGACACATCGCTCACCTTATCAGTCCATTTTTTCTTTTTCAAGTGGCTGAGCAACATTGAGATAATGCGCACACTAAATAGGGAAAACCGCCAATTAAACTTTAAAATGCACTGGATGTTTTTGGCAACTAGGGATAACTTTTTGTTTTTTAATTCTACAACTTAATGGGAATTAATTTACATATATTAAAATGGCCTTACTCAGTGCTGTAATAACATTCACATCAGGTTATTCCAGGAATTCACAATCCTTAATCTAAATTCTACAACGAAGTTAGCCCCGACAATTTCCTGTACTTGTGGGTTCTTTAATTTAAGGGTGTGAGCCTGAGTGGGGCAGCAGTCCACTAGCTCCAGATATGCACACATTACTGAATAATATTCTCTGAGTGCTTATAATCATCCCTTTCCCTTCTATAGTACACACTGCAATTAAAGATGTCATCACTTTGCTAAGACATGTGGTATTCTTCTGTACTATTCGATGACCAAAGTGCATTATCCTGAATTAGGAACATTGAATGTAAGCATTCATTCTTGTGACCACACTTGAAGCTGATAGAGATTATCATGCAAGCCTTCACAGTCAGTTAGATTTTTAGTTTCTCTAAACACTTGTAGGCAAGAAGGAACAGCATCTGCCGAGTCATTTAGGGAACAAACATCAGTCTAAGCAGAACCTTGAGATACATCACTTGTCAATTTGTGTCAGTCTTGCATTGTGTACTGTCATATGAAAATCACTTGTCTATGACAGGTCATTTCTAGTATTTTGTACCCTTTCAATTTAAGTTTTAGGCTTCATGAGGATAACTGGCTAATGCCTAAACAAAGTCAAGGAATATGTCAAGGAATATTTGCAACTTATTCTAGCATCTGTGGCCACATATCCAGTACAGTACAGTACCTCCAGCAGCTATGCTGAAGTTGTTCTTTTGTAAACGGTTCATGTAAGATGTTCTCTAGTACAGTACCCTGTACTGTACTATAACAAGCCAGTTATTATTCCTACAATGGACATTGCTCACCTTTAATCTGACTCAAATATGCTAATTTCCAGTCGTCTGGGGATCTTTTGCCCGTCCATACTACCGTGGAACAAGATACAGGGCCCGTACTAAGGTTTCTGAGAGTATACAGTACAGTACTTTACATTATCATAAACACTCTGGGATACACACTACAGTATAACCGCAGTTATCCGGCACCTATGGGGATTGAGAGGTGCCAGAGAAAGAGATTTTTCCGGAATGACATCATGGCACACACAGAGTAGCAGTCACATGTCCGAGTCAGCTGGTTGTACTGTCATGTCACCTAGAGGATGGTTTGAGTGTGGAAGGAGCTATTTTTTGTACATAAAATATAGCAATAGTAATAAACATGGCAGCTCCTCCCCGTTGCATTAATATTCAAACTTATGATTTTAGTTGATTTGGGATGAATATATATTTTTATTTCCTTTTGGTGCCAGTTAGTTAAATCTGCCAGTTTCCTGGACTTCGGATAACCAGGATTCTACTGTATAAGTCAGGATTTTTATATACCATGAGTTTTTATAAATTGGTTTGATACATCACCAGAGAAATCTGTACACTGTACCTCACAATGATTTTCTCTCCTTAGCTCGGTAGGTTATTTGTATCTTATCTTGTAAACTGAGCAAGAGTTCATTTAGTCGCTTTAATTTATCCTTTTCAGCACTGGCCAGCTTAATTGTGGGTTGGGTCACTGGTCTCATCTCTTTCGTGGCCTTCATTGTTCAGTTGTTGGTGAAGGAGAAAATTCAAGTACCCAGAGTAAATCTATAATACAGGTAATTGGTAAGGCTATACTGGATAAGACTCTTCTTAAATCCAACTCAGATATCATACCCTTTGCCATTGTCCCACCATCTTCAAGTCTTATCTCTGATGAACTCATGCATCTCCTTAATCTTTATTAAGGGATAGAAAGCTTCTTCATTGGTTATGATGATATCGAGTCATTGTATTTGGTCAAAACTATAAAGGGTTAGGTCTTCAACTTGCCGGAACAGAAAACTCTCTGAGAGTTCGTACATTAAGATTGCCAGGTTATCAAGATTGCCTGATCTATTTTCATAACTCCACACATTACCAACATAACTATAAACATCTCCTATTTCTATGGCTCAACAAATTTCAATCTAGTGAGCTGTATATGAACCCAACAATGAATGTGTTTCTTCCCATTGGTTTAATTGACCTCCACTTGGATTCTTTAATAACATGTCACCTTTGCATCCTTATCTGAAGTGTTCTACGGTCGTCTCTAGAGTTCACAACCACACCCCTTTTACATGTTGCCTTCAACAGGTGCATAAATGAGTCCTGGTCAGCCTATATTCACCTGGACTAATCTTCTACTTTTTAAACAACAGTGTAGCACTATTAAAAAAAGGTTCAGGGTGATTATGGTTGCATGATATTGTATGACTGAAGAGTGATGATTGAACCATGTGTTATATGTTAAGTCTTCGAATGGTATGCCCATGACGGGGTTTTATGACATCAACTCTGAATATGTTTTGTTTGTCTATTTGTTGGAAACCGCTCAGTTTTAACCTCATTTCCTCTCACTATACATTATATTCCTATACGGTAACTCATCCCAAGGTGGTAATAGTTTTAATGAGAATGAAACAACTTCGTAAATTGTATTGTACAGTATTTGTTTTTTGAAACGTTAATATTTATCCTACTGATGCACTTACCACACTGCTCTCAACAGTGGATATGTGAGTGAACATACAGGATTCGTCTTCTTCACATCAAAGATAATAAAGACTGCTTCCCCCCTTCACTGGACTCCCAAGTGTAGGTCTGGGTTGCAAATTAGTAATTATTTAAATTCACACTAGTTTGAAGCCCCTAAAGATGGTGGGAGAAATTTAATTATTGTCCAGATAGACACAAGAATAACACATCACTGATCAGCTAAGCAGCTTATACAGTACATGAAGGTACTTCCTAACTTCCTTTATATGAGGCACAAGATGGCATCATATAAACACCGTACTGCATTGAGTAAAAAATTAAAGACTCTTTAAGATCCATTAATATAACAAGAAATAACAAATCATTTAAATGTGACTATACTGTATGATACAGTATAAGTAATAATAGTCTTTATTTAACTGTATGCTGTACTGTACACACACACAGGTATCCCTCGAGATATGAATAGGTTAAGTTCTATAAAACCATTCGTTAGGTAAATTTTCGTATCATGAATAGATTAACGTATGGGGAAAATATGGTTCCGTTCCCCAATGACAAAAATACCCCAATCTCAGACCCCAAAAACATAAAACTGGTTAACAAACAAGAACAAAACCCACTTAACTAATGGTAAATAGTACACAACTACTCTAATTTACTATCTAACTCATGAAAAAAGTAATAAAATACTGTTTAACTTTGGTACATTACCGTATGGGAGGGCAGTCTGAGCTCACCACCACAAGGAGTTGAGCAGGAGAGGGCTGAGGAGGGTTGTCCTACTCATCACTACTGTCCAGCTGCTTGTTTCATCTCCTCAGCATGCTTGTAAATGGTGGCCACAGTAGAAGCAGCCAGACCAAGATCTTTCCCAATATTGGTAGGGCCATCACCGTGTTCATGAGACTAATTACTTCCAGCTTTGTGTCAAGAGTCACTGTCTTCCGTGGTTTCTTAAGTGTAGTACAGGCAGCCGAAGATTCAACAGAGCGCTTAGATGCCATTATGAAAGTTGTAATGAAAGGATGACACAAATATACACACACACACACACACAATGAATGGCAGAAGGAGGGATACAGGCTAGTGGGAAATGCAGGGGGGGGTGGGGGGTATGATCAGCGAGCAAGAATACTTCTCTCTGCATCTCTTCCCAAGATGGCCACGCCAGCTGACTCCATGCACACGAAATTTGAATTTTTGTCCGGACCTAAATTCATTTAAGAGGAGTTAGCTTTCGTTTCTTGAAGTTGTGGTGTCAATTTAGGAAATTCGTTTAAGCAAATTTTCGCATCTCAAGGGATACATTGTGTGTATGTGTGTGTATGTTGTGTAATGTGTATCAAGTGTGTGGCGGTGTGTTCATAGGGTTCAGAGGCGAGTGACGATAAAGACTTTGATTAACTGTGGCGAGTGTGGAGAATGTTGATGAATCCCTCCCACCCACCTTAACCTCTTTTACACAAGAGTTCACATCACCATGAACACCCATTCAGTGTAACTACTGTATATACAATCAAACAATGTGGCAATGTATTTAGTGATCATTCTTTACTGTGGTTTATTGTTTTATCATATGTACTGTATATGTACGGCTATATAATGTGTGAAGGTAATTAAAGTACAGTATTGTAATTCATTCTTATTCCGCAGTCCTCTATTGTTCGCTGATGACACCCTGGATGCACCCAAGAATGCCTGTGGGTAGTTTTAATGTTGCCGTCATTTTTGCGGCTGGGACGGGGAGCCATTTGTTCTAGAGACAGTAATTTCCTTTACCTGTATTGTAAATATTTGTGTGTGTTTAGACATACACAAAACATATACAAATAAATAATAATTGGAAAATCCTCTCACAAATAATCAAACAAATTGATTAAAAATGTGAGTCTACCCACAAGTCAGTGATTTATTACTTTATTCAGAGAGCAAGGACTTGAGGGTAGACTGTCACATTTTTAATCAATTTGTTTGATTATTTGTGAGAGGATTTTCCCATTACCTGTATTATCTATTTGTATGTTTTTTGTGTGTGTGTGTCTATACACACACACACACACACACACACACACACACACACACACATATATATACAATACAGGTAAAAGAAATAATTGTCCTAAGGGCAAACACATAAAGGGAATATACATTTATTAACACACAAGTAAAAATGTAACCCCCCCCCCCAGTCTGCAAATGTTTTTCGTGGATTTGGCGATCCGAGGCCATTTTGAGAACCTAACCTCCACGAATTTGGGGGTCCCCCTGTACAGGTTGTACCTCTGTGGTCCGGAAACTCCCGTGGTCCAGAACGATTTTAGTTTGTCCAATAGGTAGATAGGCAGCTTTTTTTTTTTTTTTACTTATCTGAATTATTATTATTACAGGAGTATTAAATTTTTGCCCCTCAGGCCCCAATGTGGGTCAGTGACCTATGCCCGGGTGGGCTAATCCCCGTAAAAAAAAAAAAAACAGCGGGAAATTAAGGTTTGTTTACATCGGCAGTTGCTCTCTCTCTCTCTCTGCTTGTCTATACAGAGTACAACATTTAACCCTTCAATATATATGAGCAGTAAATAAGTGTTGCTTTCATATTCTTATGTAGAGTAATGACGATATGTTTTCACATGTGCGCACTTACATACGCGCAGTCTCACTTTTTTTTTACCATTAATGGTTAGCTACTTATATTGTTCCATTTATTAACATTAAATAACATTACAGGTACTTCAAACAACCATATTATTTTTTTACATTAATTTTACTACAGCTAAAATCAGGGTCTTATTTTCTTCAGTTTTATATGTAGAACCAATCAGTCACTGGTTTCGTAAGCTTTAACATAAACAATGCCGGCAGCCGTCTCGTCTCCTCTAATATTCCATGTATTATTAATAAATTGTATTGTTAATTTTGCACACACATACATTAATTCAATAAAAACAAATTCAGAAACATTAATTAAAATATATATGAACAGTAAATAAGTGTTGCTTTCATATTCTTATGTAAAGTAATGACGATATGTTTTCACGTGTGCGCATGCGCACTTACATACGCGATCTCTCTTTTTTCTTTACCATTATCGTTAGCTACTTCTATTGTTCCATTTATTAACATTAAATAACATTACTTAAAACAACCATATTAATTTTACTACAGCTACAACCAAGGTCTTATTTTCTTCAGTTTTATATGTAGAACCAGTCAGTCACTGGCTTTGTAATCAACGAAAACAATGCTGTGTCATTTCCTCGTGTGTTTTAATATTCTACGTATTATTAATGAATTGTATTGCTCATTTTGCACACAAACATTAATTCAATAAAAAAGACATTCAGTAATAAACAATAATGAATCTTTTGTACATAAGAGAAATGACGCTGTTTACACGATTATGCACGTCGTCTGCACGTTGGCGGGCCGTTCAAACCCGTCGAAATTCAAGTTTCCGCCGTCAAAATTTTTATTTATTTTTTTTGTGTGTGTTCCAATAAAATACGTTAAGAATTAAAAACTCGCGAAATTTGAGAAGCTACTATACGACATTTAACCCTTCAATATGTCTTCAAAGAGACCATGATGCAGAGAAAGTGGTGCTAGTGCTTCCAAGCATAAGCACAAGTCACTATCTATCCAGGAAAAGGGTGAATTTCCATGGTCCGGCACCGGTCAGGTCCCGAGGTTGCCGGACTAGAGAGGTACAACCTGTACCATCAAATCACTAATTCTAGGCCTCTCTTTTTATCATTTGTTACAGAGGTTGGCTACAAACTGTATAAGGTAATGGAAATTGTGAGAAAAAGGCACATACATACTGCTCATGAAAGGTGTTGAATATTTACAAATGGTTAAACATGTGTAAGGCATGGGAATTACTGTACTGTACTTAAATCTATAACTTTGTTTTTAAGCTGGCAATGGCTCTAAGAATCTTATTTCTGGCAGAAGCAGTATTTATTCCTAAGTCTTGAAGATCAGCATCTGAGAGTTCCAAGAAAGCATCCAAATCCACCTCTTGCTCCAGAAACAACTCTAAGTACTGATTTAAGGCCAATTTCTGGAGTACCTCTGAAAGTTGACCAGAGCCTAGACTCAATGTGAGGTGAGATGCTGCAGCAGAAGTAGTACCATCTGATTCCTCACTAACATGGGGTATAAGCACAGCGGTTGATCTTGATGATTTTGAGGAGGTCACAGTCTTCAGGGATGAGCCTCCAGAACCCCCACTATCCAAGGACGACACCAAGACGTCATTTTCTCCAATATATTTTCCATGGTTTCTCTCTCTTCTACCATCACTATTCCCATTACGTTTTGGTCCATTTACTTGCAGTATAGAACCCAGACCTCGGGCTTCACCTGTTGGGATACTTGAATGTGTTACTGTCAGCACCACACGAAGTACAGTATATGTTTTAAAAATGACAAATTACAGTACACATTACCTACATTTTACTAGTACAGTATAGTAATACTTTCTAAAATGATTCTTGTGACTTTTACCATAAATAATAGGTAATATAGTTGAAGCTAAAAGATATTACCATCAACTTAAGACTTTCAGAAACCTTTAATCTATTCTTAGGTCATGAAATAGTATACACTGACAGTCCCCACCCCCACCCCCACCCCCAAAAAAAACATATACAGTAAAAGTCCAAAAATCCGGATGTCAGAAATCCAGACCACCCAAGAATCCGGACTTTTCGAAAACTCAAACTTTTTTTTTTAATTTAGCGGGCTTTTGTGTGTATGGGCGCATGCGTGAGCGCCACAGCTGCACAGCGACCACGCTGTCGCCACTTTAAAACGAGCAATCAAACTGTGACAACGTATGTAATTTTGAGTCCAACTCTTTCCATTTACAGAGTACTGTACAAGCCCATAATAATGGCTCCTAAAGTAGATAAACTTTGTTGTGTGAAGAGAAAGAACACATTGAAATTGATTGACAAACTTGAAATAATTAAGAAACTAGAACTTGGTGTGAGCAATACTGTTTTAATGGAAACATTCGACATAGGAAAGTCTACAATTTATGATAAAAAAAAGGCAAAGAATAAAATTCTAGAATTCACAGCTTTTTCTTTAAAACTGCTCGTTTTGATAAATGAAGCATGCTATATTTGCTAATGAATAAATTATCAAAATGTACCTGATCATCTCTTCTTTATTCCTCCTTAAATTTGAATTTTAAAAGTACTGCCTGAGAATCCAGAATATATGTATGTATGTATGTATGTATGTATGTTTTCTTTTTCCCTGTGGTTATCAGCATATACCTGGATCACGCGCACCTACAGTGATTTATTTGCATATATATATATCCATCTAAAAGAGGTCAGGTATCACCCAACTTAACAACATAAAAAAAAATCTTGAAATACTTCCCACACAATCTACCTTTTGGTTTGAATATGAAGATAGTGAAGCAGCAACATTTTCAAAAATAATTATCAATAAACATGTACCAAAAATGGTTATTGGAGATTGTCTTCACAATTACCTGAAGACTGAGGACTCAAGCCAGACAAGGATGAGCCTGGAGATGATCCTCCACTCCCCATACTCCACTTTAGGAGTCGGGAATTTGTAGCATGACGAGGTGGTTCAACTGGACCTCCTGGCAGGATCTTGCGCCCTGGAGGCATGGCTTTTGGCACAAGTCCCGGCTTTCCTCCAGTCGGGGAGATATGGGGAGGGACCATGCTCTTCATAGTCTCTGTTGCATGGATGCTGCCAGCTCCAAAATCCTACAACAGAAGTGACAGACTGATAATGTGTCAAAATATATTTACACTTATGCAATCTTACAAGTTAGTTTGAGTTTCACATATACGTACAGCTTCCCTTTCACAAATATATTTCCTCAGTCTTTAATAACCTATTTTATTCTTCTCCGATGGTTTGATTTCAATCGGTATAATCGCTACAAAAAGCCATCCTACGATCAAACAAACACACCAAGGTACTTTGATGAATCGTTAAAAAAAATCACATGTTTTAATTTCTTTCTATACCAGTGATCTCAATGCTTATCAAACAATTCATAAATACCTAAACCATGACTTGTCTTTATATTTACCATAACAGGTGGTAGTCTTATCTCCTGAGGCAGAATGGGATCATACTGTATGGGTGGTAATGGAGACATAGTACTGATCTCCTTCAGACTCTCTTGCTCTGGAGATGTAGATCTTTGTGGCTTGACGCCTTTCACTTTGTGGAATCTAGAACATAATGATTATTATTAAACCCTTGTGTATGGGTTCACTCCAGGTGCCGAATAACATCATCTTGCGCTAGCAGCCAAATATCAAAAGTGGTGTTCCCGTAATGAAGAGGTTAGTAAAAACCAGGTACAGGGGGCCCCCCAAGTTCGCAGACTTTTATTTCGCGGTCCTCTATTATTCGCGGATGACACCCTGGATGTACCCAAGAATGTCTGTGGGTAGTTTTAAAGTTGCTGGCATTTTCGTGGCTGGGACAGGGAGCCATTCGTTCAAGAGACAGTAATTTCCTTTGCCTGTATTGTAAATATGTGTGTGTATGTAGACACACACACACACAAAACACATACAAATAAATAATAATTGAAAATCCTCTCACAAAAAATCAGAAATAACTTTATTAAAAACATGAGTCTACCCTCAAGTCCGTGCTTTATTACTTTATTAATAAAGCACGGACTTGAGGGTAGACTGTAACATTTTTAATAAATTTGTTTGATTATTTGTGAGCGGATTTTCTCATTATTATTTATTTGTATGCATTTTTAACACAAATATACAATACAGGTAAAAGAAATAATTGTCCTTAGGGCAAACACATAAAGGGAATACTGTATACATTTCTTTGTACACAAGTATAATGTACCCCCGGTCCGTGGATTTGGTGATTCATGGCCATTTTGAGAACCTAAATCCAGCGAATTTGGGAGGCCCCTGTACTGTATGCTATATTGGTTCTTCCAGACCGTGAGAAAAACTATTCATAACATAAATTGACCTCTTTAACATGATAATGTAGAATGTTCAGCACGGATAACTAATTAAAAGATTTACAATTGTTGGATATAATCATTACCTATTAGACACTCTATTCCACCACTGTTTGAGGCCATGTTTTGAGCGACCATCAGGAAGGTCTGCAGAACTCCCACTTTGTTGTGACCACCCTGGCTGGGGAGTTGGGGAGGGTGATCCAATGCCGAGAGATAACATCTGTTAGTAAACATAAAATACCATGAAAAATATGATATTTACAACTGATAAAGATAAGGAATACAACTTTCTATTTAATTGTATTCAAATCATCTGTAAATAAGACAGTTAACAATATTATTAAAAGTTATAGTCTTATGTAAATATTGGGGACTGAATTGCTAAAAGAGAAGAACACAACAGAAAGAATGACAGTGAATGAGGAAGACTATATTGTTCTTGACTCCAGCTATTGTGGCAGGAAAGGACCTCCACGAGTGAAAAAGTGTGAAACTTCCTGTAAAATTTTATACTAGCTATAATCTACATGAATAATTATTATATGCCTATTGAACTTCTTACACAAAAAATTTATCAAACATCAAAAACTTACCTGAACCTCAACAAAGCTGCGCATTACATCTATGTTGAGCGTCTCACTTGCAATATCAAATGCAGTGTAGCCTTTGTGAGATATTTTGCTGATATCTGCTCCCCACTGGATTAGAAACTTTGCCATATCAGTTTCTCTGTTGGGAAATAAGAAAAGACCGAGCTCCTTCAATTCTGTACTACCAGTAGCCACATTATATCTTACACATCAGTACAACAAACATTCTTCTTACAAAATTTTTTATCTATATCACACCAGAAAATTAAGTTACTTCATACCCTAACATCATCCCTGCTTGTAAATGTTTCATGTATTTTCCTTTATCATACTCTCGCTTCCTACCTTCAATACATCTTTGTCCTTTCTGTTCATTTCACTTTACTTTACATTTTGAATCATTCCTTCAACACTCACCTGTGATAAATAGCTTGCATTAGGGCTGTCCATCCATTTTTATGATCCTGAGCATCAATATGAGCTCCATACTGCAGTAACATCTGAGCAACCTGCATGTGACCCAACATCGCTGCAACCATCAGGGGTGTAGCTCCGTCTGCTGTTGGAACTTGGCACTGGCTTGGGTCAGCTAGGAGAATCTCTTGAACTGCTTTGACATCTCCACGACGTGATGCATCCATTATGTCGCATAGAGCTCCTGTCAATGTTAAAAAAAAAAAAAAAAAGGAATCTTGCCAATTATTTAATTATTTTCTATGAAAATATACTAACTTTTGGTTCAGATAGAAAACAAAACTAGATTAGAAGTTAAGATGTTTATATTTCTAAAAGCATCTTGTTAAGACAATGCCAAGAATGCTCCAACATGTTATAGAAGCTAACAGTACACACACCAAGTGCTGATCTGTTCAAGGATATATGCATCAGATGGCTTTATTGTAACTTTAAAATCTAAGTCTCTATCTATCCAGAAAATCCACTCCCACCCCCACCCCCCCCTCCCTCCAGGTAAATTCTTCTTTTTCTGCCAACGAAAGATGTAATTTGCCATGAATTATGCAAAATTATTGGGAGAATATAGAGATGCAGTGAGGTATAACTTTAATTCTTAACCGGTATTCTCAAAAAACACAAAACTAACCTTTCTTTTTTTGTCTTGTTGTTTTTTTCTGTAGAAAATTTGCAATATCTGGTCTATTACATGTAGCAGCTACATCAAGTGCAGTCAGGTCACAGGCACTCAGTGCATTGGGATCTGCACCTCGGTCTAGCAGAATCTGTGCAGTTGACATGTTCCCTCCAGCAGCACTGAACATCAATGGTGTGATAACTGCAAATATCAGTTAAAATAAAAACACAAGACATTAGAGTTTGGATTTAAAATGGAAAACTAATCCAGAAATACTTTTTTGGGGGGATGAGTCAGACCTGGAGAATTATGTACACTAAAAAGGAAGAAGACTTAAGGAGTTTTGTTCTTGTGCTTAAGATGGATTTATTCTGTTCATTCCAGATCCTCCCCACCTCAGCAGCTCAAATGTAGGAGCGAAAGATGAGTTACTCGATCTCAACTCGGTTACTAAATGGGTTTCAGGATCAATCTTCCATTCAAACGAGTAACCTATATCAGGACCAAGCAATTGTGTATACCAAAGCTAACTAGAAAGGGAGGTACCCAAAGGCTTTAAATGCTTTGCCAGGCAGTACTGACCAGCAGGCATACTGTAGTGGTTATTGAGGTACTGACATGGTTTTTACTGAGGTCCTTCCTGATGGATGATGCACAAAGCTACCATCAACTTTTCATAAAGACACATTGTTCCCAAGGGATTGTGTCCTTTGAGTAAAATACTGTGTTGAGTGAAACTACATTAAAAATTACCTCGAGTATAAGCAGCTCCATGTGTCTCGGTAATTACTGTGAGAACTATAAAACTGCATGTGAAGTAAAAAGTATGTTTCAGATATTATGACTCAAGTAGAGTACAAGAGAGCTCCCAATATGACAACCATAAGAAAACACATTATCAGTCAGCAAACATTTCAAGTACAGTACAGACAATCCCCGATATACAGTACGTATACCGGTAAGGATCCGGTTTACAAAAATCCCAAGTTACGAAAAATGTAGGTCAGATTATGATGAGGTTAGGCTATGGCAAAATTCATTAGAATATGGTTAATGGCAGCATTTAGTTATAGTCCTATTACTGCTCCAAAAACCTACATCAACTAAAAAAAATTAATAATTCATGACATGGGTTCAATTATTTTATCTAGGTTAATTATGGTTTGATTAATTTGAGTTACCTTACAATTTATATTTGTCCCAAGATAGTTGTCTATTATACAGTGCAATGAGTGAATATACAGTGGATATGAATATGATACAGGTACACAAGACACATACAAGCACCTACCAGTTTTGGGGACGGACTTGTTGGCATTAACACCTTTGTCTAAATAAAGTCGTACCACAGCATCATTGCCATGTTGTACAGCAATCATGAGCGGGGTAATCTGGCAGGTATTTATGGAGGGTATGGGGTCAAAGTTGGCCCCAGCCTCTATCAATGTCCGAATAGTACCCATGTGGCCACTTACTGACGCCAGCATTAATGCAGTCATCCCTGTCAAGAGAAGTAAAAATGTTAATTACAATATAAAGCCTTAAGGGACAAACTCAAAATATGTCAATCTCAAATTCACATTCAATTTAAAGTAGGAAATGGCTGGAACATTTGTTTTTATATTATACTGTTTAATTCACACCAATTAAACAGGAGAAAATTGCATTTTTAAGCTTACCAAATCTGTTTCGGGTATCTACAGATGCCCCAGCTTGAACCAGTAACAAGACAACATGCATGTGTCCATGTCTTGCTGCCTGCATCAGAGGAGTCCAGCCAAGGTTATTTGTAGCTTCACGATTAGAATTTTGTGAGAGAAGGAATGCTACTATCAATTCATGGTCATTGGCTGATGCAATGTGAAGGGCTGTATTGTTGTCATGATCAGGAGAATCGCCATCAAGACCTGTAAACAAAAATAATCTGCTTAGATTAAACAAAATTAACTTGTTTATGTTCCCTAGACTATTTTCATGATAACAGAAAAATAACTAACTCGATCTTAGTTCAGCTCTAAGGATATACAGTACAATATTATTCCCATTACTCAGCAACTGCAGTTTAATACTGTTTGTTTAAGATTGAGAATATATGGTCCTCAGCCTCTTGAAGTTCTTTTGAAGATTTCTTCCTGAAAATTCACCCAAAACCTTGGTTACTACATAAAGAGGCTCACCTGGGATAGGTTAGGTTAGGTTGGGATAGGCATCTCTATACCTACCAGCATCAAGCGCAGATTTAACATGTTCAATGTCTCCTTGTTCTGCTGCTCGGTGTAGCTCCTGTACTGGGTCTACATCCATCATCATCATCCTTGCAATGAATACACAAAATTAAGAGTAAGGTAGACATGTAAGCTTCCTAACTTTACATTCAATAATTTGGGGATAAAATTACTCATGAAGTAGAACTTTGCCCAAGTTTAATTTCCATTACTTCCTATTAGTCATTTCCCAAGTTTACAAGCATCTTCAGGCAAAACAAAATAGCTGTACAGTAAAAAAGAACTTGCAAACTTATTACGAAATACGGACAATTGTTTTCTTATTTTTGTGTGATATTGCCTAACAGAATTATTATTTTATTTCAAGAAAGATTTTCAACAAAAATTTTAGGATATTTTTGTTGTCAGATTGGTAATACAGTAGTTTAAAACCCTACAGCATATTTTACCCAGAATGGACAGTTTTTCAGTTGGTGGTAACCTACAAAGGCCAATAAATGACATTTTGTAATCTGAATTGACAATTGTAAAACATGAACGGACAAATATAGCAACAAATGACATACCAGACATACTTTGACTTCAAGCATTCACTGTGTTAAGTAACATGTCAGGGCATGACACAGCATTTCAGAACATGACATGCCATGACATGAACATGACGCGAAAAAAGATTAAATGGTAAAATTATAGTGTCGGTCATCCCTTTATTTAGATACAGTGGGTCCGACTAATTACCCAAATGAATCCAAATGTACTCAAATGTAGCCGCAATGAAGTCAAATAATGGTCCTACATGAATAAATCGGACTGCCAATCACTTTTCGACTAGTATTTGGTGTCAGAAAGTCACAAAAAATTGGAAAACTTAATTTAATCTGAGTTAATAGATCGCGTGCATGTACCGAGGGAGCGAGTAATTACCCAAATGTAGCCACAGTGAAGTCAATTGATGGTCATACAAGGTGTTTATCGGGCTGTGAATCACTTCTCGATTATTATTTGGTGTCATAAAGTCACAAAAAATTGGTAAACTTAATTTAATCTGAGTTAATAGATCGAGTGCATGTACCTAACCTAACCTAACTCAGATTAAATTAAGTTTACCAATTTTTTGTGACTTTATAACACCAAATACTAATCGAGAAGTGATTCACAGCCCGAATTACGCTTGTATGACCATCATTTGACTTTATTGTGGCTACATTTGGGTAATTAGTGGGACCGAGATACAGTATCCAACCTAACCTAACCTAGCCACAGAACCCAGGAAGTGTTTCTAACCTAACCAGTGGGCGAGACATCCCTTTTCTGGTGGGGGTTAAATTCCTAAGATTCCCCAGATGACCAAAACTATAATAACATTAATAAAAGATATTAGTTTCGAAATTACGCGAAATATCGTGAGATTACCCGAAATAAAATATATAACCACTTCCTCAAATAACCATGAAAAACCTAAGAAAAACACCTTATCAAATTCCCATTCAGGCAAAAATGAATCTTGACCCCCACTTAATAAATACAATATGATTTAAAGCAACACACCATAAAGTATTGTACACATAATATAAGGAAGGATACTCACTCGCCAGTTGTTCTTGTAGCTTAACATTATAACCTCGTCGCCCATTAGTAGTCACCACACAGTAATTTATTCCGCTGTTATGAGAAGATATGTATATTTATATAGATATATATATATATCCATTTAATATTGTATCATATAATGTCTTTCATACATAAAACTATAGTACTTGCGATTTATCAATGAATTAAAAACTTTTGTGAATTGTTTGTATTATAGTAGCAAAATGTATTGATCTATATAACACTAATCTAAATATGAACTTTGTTGAGTTTCCAGTTGATAAAAATTATTTATTTGCATGTTCAGTACAGTAGTAAATAATAGTCAGATTTACCTGGAGCATAACATTTAAGAAATGAATGATCATTTAAGGGAGTCCGAGGAGTCGTAATTTAAGAACTAAATAGTTCCTACACTAATCAACAAGCATCTGCTCAGTTTTTAGTTTTCACATATTAAAACCAGGGGTGATGAGACTTTACTTTTATCCTCTTCACCACTGATCGGCTCGTTATCGGTCGATCACGTCTTTGTTAGGCACTGTTGGCAAGTACTGAACCTGCTCCGGTGGTCATCAAGCCTCTGGTCTTGAAACAGCTCACACTCAGTGCTGTCACAAAACTCTGGCTGGTTGTTCTAAGAGATCACAACTCTCACTCTGGAAAAGTTCGCCCACGCAGTTTTCAGGCCGACCTTTTCTAGTTTTATATATTAACAGTACTGTACAGGTAATGGTACAGTGCACAGTACATTTATTAAGTAGACGGCAAATTTTTACTTTCAGACACGAGTCCCTATGGCTGGACCAATATGTTTTCCCAGTGTATTTTGGTGTGTTTCAAACTAATCTTACCTTTATTTTTGGCGGAAATTGCTCCTTTTTCCCCCCCACAATAATGGGGGACAGCCTGGGAATTCGGGGTATTTGGGTGGGGGAGAAAACGAGTCATCTAACCTAACAAAGCCTAACCTACCCCTAGTGGACCCACCGTAGGCCTAGCTTAAACTAACCTAACCAAACCTGAGTGTTTCAGTAGTTTAAAACTTTGGGGCGCACCATGTCCGAAAGTACAACACCTTAGTTAGATGTGGATAGAATGGTCTTTCTCGTAAAACTCGGCATTAAATTTAAAATAACCGTAGAAGCACGAATGACAACCGACCTCCACCACGGCCATTGTCAGACTGATCAATGAAATTCACATCCGTACCCCGGCTGCTTCCTTTGAAAAAATTCTATTGTGATTGGTCGAAAAAAATTTGCATGACAATATCGACACATCATTGGTCACGACTGGATGACGTCAGTCAATATTGTGCATGCGTGATGCGCCGATAGCATCTCCTCAGACGAAGACTGAAAAGTACGTAAAATCAATTAAATTAAATTGTGTCGCTATTATCCATTTCTGCATTGTATATATGGGGTTCAAAATGCTCAGAACCGGGAGATCTAAAAGTTTCAGTAGTTTACAACTTTTGGGCACGCTATGTCCTTAAGTAAAATAAAACCACATAGACTAACAGTACAGTGCATGTATAACAATGAATTGTACATTTATACGTTTGTATTATCAGAATCGGGACCAGTTGAAAGCTACAGAAAGATCTCTCAGCTTTAGATGTGGTTAGGGGAATGGCCGTTATGATCAATGTCACGAAATGTAAAAGGTATGCATCCAAGGGCGGCTGTGATCTTGGGCATCCCCAGGGGCGGCTGACGGTCTGAGGCGCCCCTAGAAACTAAATGAAGAGTGGGGCGTCCCTTGAGTGACTGACAGATGTTTCCAGGGGTGGTTTGCAGCCTAGGGCACCCTCTGGGGGATCTGGCACCCCTCTCTATTCATTTGTGTCCCTCTCTTTAGTCCTTTTGTGTCACACCACATATGCCTCAGTCACACAACCCATGCCTCAGTCACACAACCCATGCCTCAGTCACACAACCCATGCCTCAAGTCACACAACCCATGCCTCAGTCACACAACCCATGCCTCAGTCACACAACCCATGCCTCAAGTCACACAACCCATGCCTCAGTCACACAACCCATGCCCAGTCCTGGTCATGCCTCAGTCACACCCATGCCTCAGCCACAGTCACACAGCCCATGCTTCCAGTCACAGCCCATGCATCAGTCACACAACCCATGCCTCAGTCACAGCCCATGCTTCAGTCACAGCCCATGCATCAGTCACAGCCCATGCATCAGTCAGCCCATGCATCAGTCACAGCCCATGCTTCAGTCACACAACCCATGCCTCTGTCATACAACCCATGCCTCAGTCACACAGCCCATGCTTCAGTCACACAACCCATGCCTCAATTACAACGAGGGCTGCCACAAGATTCTCAGATAAAATTTTCTTCATTATTTAAGCAAATATACAAACATTTGGAAACATCTCATTATTTTAAATAACAATGAATAGTTTATTATTACAAACATTCTAACTTTGGATTGTTTAAATATTTATCCTGACTGTGATACAGCCGAAGATAAATCCACCAATCACAATCACCTTTACATACAGCCTTACTTTACCAAGCATTGCCAAGTAAAATTGCCGGTACGAGACCCAGGTTGGAGTCGCTGGATATTTGGCTGACTGTTCAGCACTCTTAACTACCATGGTAGATGTGGGATAATAAAACAGCAAACTCCCGTGCAATTCAAAATCCAACAGAGGTACACTCAGTAAAAAAAACTATCTTCACAAATCTTGTACGAAATAAAATGACACCACGAACTAAGGTTTTTGATAAAGGCCCATGAGAGATACCTCGCAATGGTAGCCCTGTGTGTGGATTGTTCAGTTCGAAATTCGTCGGAGCCCTCCCGAAAGATACTTTTTTAACGAGTGTACTTACTTAGTGCATTACAAAATAGAATTGGGGATTCAAACAAAACTAACTGAGGTGTAAGAAAATATATTTAAAGAGTTTCATCTCAGTCACAGGGAAGAGAACAAGAGAAGAGGTCAGAAAATAACAAAACAAATGAAGGCTACTAATGTTGTGATACTTTACTGCTGGACTTTAACAACTAAAATCTTCAAGCACTTACTATATATAATATCATAAGGCAGACAAAAGGAAGAATTCTATATACGTAAATTATTGAAGAAAAACAACTAACAATAACAAATTCAACAAAACAATCGTAAAAAAGACATCTAGGTATCTAACTCTGATTTAATAACACTACAGTACATTTAAAAACATGTCTATTAAAAAAAAATTAAAACCATAAAAAAAAAAAACAGACATTAGATTGAAAACAAAAACCCACATCACTGTTGATATAAAAGGAGGGGGAACCATTATATGAAGCAAAGACATCATTGAATAAAATTTTAGAATTCTGTGTTAATTGTTGAAGAAAACTAACAAGCTCCAAGAACACTGATACAGAGACTGTAAGGGAAGACGTATACTTGGCCTAATGTTTAGAGATAGAAAAAGACAAGCAAGATCTCAAAGCTAAAGTAGATGACGTAAGAGCATAGAATGTCAGCGGCCAGTCTTATTGTATGACCACGCTAACGGTCGGCCAATAAGATTTTTCTATTTTAATGGCTCTCAGCGGTTAAGACAAGATTCACAACCAGACCAATATTACCTGACTGGTTCATGGAATTAGGAAGTGTGGAAATGTTCCTTTATCAAAAACCTAACCCTTTATCCTAGAAAGCACAGGAATATATATATATATATATATATATATATATATATATATATATATATATATATATATATATATATATATATATATATATATATATATATATATATATATATAAAATCACGGGAAAAGAAACAATTGCCTACGTTGTCATTGTTTTCATTGTGGATTTACATGATATATATATATATATATATATATATATATATATATATATATATATATATATACAGTATACATATATATATATATATATATATATATATATATATATATATATATATATATATATATATATATATATATATATATATATATATATATATATATGTATAATTTCATACATCTACCATATTTAAGGAATTAAAATTTTTTTTAATAATTACGATTCTCCTGACAAACAAACAGTACACAAACTCAAAACAAATATGTCAGTGTTATTAGTCATTACATATGTTACCATAATATGAATATTCCATAGGGTCACCAGTGTCAATCGTTCTTTTACGAAGACTGTATTGTATAGAACATTTGGAGGGTAACACACAAAATATACAGGTATTAGTTATCCAAACCTAGTGTAGATCAAAATATTCCATTCTTTGATGTTGGCATTCTTTCTTCACTCTCCTCACAAATTTAACGTTTATTATATTACAACACGAAGCAATTAATGCCAGTAAATGAGACCACAGCTACAGGCAAACTGCACAACCATAAAGCTTTTTCATCAACATCCTTTAGACTAAATACTCTTACACGAGCTTATGAAACTTTCAGATAAAACCTCATATATGTTCTAATAGACAGTGAATCATTTGTTGATTTACATAGATAGGTTGGCAGTACTACCTGACACATCAATATATAATAAATAACATTCAAGAGAAATACATAACATAAAAACGTTAGTCAATACCAGTTCATCACTCATCATATTCTGTATGGAAGCTGTGTGAAGTAGCATGGAATGGACAATACTTGTGCCCATGATTTTGTTTGCCAAAGAAAATCCATTCATCCAACTCATATTCAAGTCCATATGAAGGAAAAAAATTGCATTCAAATAAAAGGTTTCTCGCCAACAAGATACATTACTGAGCATCAATACCACAAAATGCCTAAGAACATCCAATGGTGGAGATAACATTATCCTAAACCGTATCATGTGATCAAACAGGTAAGTAACACATGCTAGTTGTTCAAATTGTTAACTATTTTCTAGGCACTGGATGATAAAACAGGTAAACCAAAACAGAAAAATTAGTTCATGTTGCTCTGAATCCAGTTCAAGTAATAAGACACTCTGGTGTACACTCCAGGAAGGTTCGCATCTGTACAAGAGCCAGAGCCAAAGGATACTAAGCCCACCTGCACGTATTTGCCAGAACCTGGAGGAAACTCAATGATGGATGGGCCTCCACTGTCACCCTGCAGCGAGAAAGAGAAAATAACGGAGAAAGATTAAAACAGGTAAAACTACTCACTAAAACAGAGTATACTTCTACTCTTGTTTTGCTGTTAAGACTAGTGTCAAAAAAGTGGAAGTTGGGAATTACTTGTCCTAATGACTCTTGGAAAAATTTATTTAGGTTAGTTTTGCAATATTAAATTTATGGCAATGTTTGGTGAGCCCAGTATCTACTTGGCCACCATACCACTCTTATTATAGGAATGTTTTATTTGTTATGATAAGACTACTATTGTTCCTGTGTTTACAAATTTAATCTACAGGATCAAGAGATAAGATCAAAACAAACATCATATCAAATTCATTAGTTTATTATGTAATTGAAACAGTTAACTGACCCTACTGTAAGCACACTGAAATGCACAATATTAGTACTAGAATTCTTTCCATCTTTATCCACCTAAAGAGAGCAAAGGCCATCAAACATATCTGAAAAAATAGACACCCATAACAATAAATATGTCATCATGTCACTCAATAAGATGCCCCTGAGTAGTAGTGTTGCACCAGTGAATGAAACATCCATACTTCTGAGCTTCACAAAGATCAACTTACATTACAGGAATCACCATTTGTTGAGTCCATACACAACATGGATGAGACAATGAAGCCCGTTGGGGAACCTTGTTTGTTCCAGCGCTGATCGCATAGTGAATTGGTGATAATCTTGGCCTGGAGGTGGTGGAGCTGACTCTGAAGGTTTCCATTCTCGTCCCTGCCCCACCCTGCCACAGTCGCTTGTTCATCCACCAGGTTTAGCTCTGCTTCAGATATTAATAATGAGTATGAGAGTGATAGTGATGATGCTGATCCTTAATGTTACAACTGTACAGCTATTAATAACAAGAGCATACAGTTAATATTAATGTAATAATGGTAATAATAACAGTATCAACAATGAAACGGATAGAAACAGTAATAGTACTTATAACTGTGTTCATTATATATTCGTACACTGTATTGTACTGTAATGCATCTTCCTTCTGATAATAGCTTTGCCTTTTGTTTTGTTTTTCCGAGAGGAACTGTACCAAGAATTAACTGGTATCCAGATTTGGGCATAAATATACCTTGTTACAGGTCTGGTATAGTGATACTATACAGTATTCTAATAGGGTCAAAGATCAACATATGCACATAATTTTTGGTTTTCGACCCAGTATGTTGTCATGTGGTACTGAAAAGGTAGACGTGTTGCATTTCAATTGTGTAAGTTGCTTACATCAGAAAATTAAAACAAAAGCACTTATCACCCAAGTAAGGAAAAAAATAGTCTTGGGAATTTCTAAAAGTACAGTAATAATAATAATATACAGTAATTATAAAAAAAGGCATAATTACACACACAAAAAAAATAATAAAACTCACGGGTAGAGGGTAGACAAATTTTTTGTATATCCTGAGTGAACGTAATAGTTTTGGCGAGTTTTAGGACGGCTAAGTCGTTCTGTAGGGTGGTGCGGGAGTACTTAGGATGTACCGTTATCTTAGCTATGACGGCGTTTTCACTTGGACCATCATTCTTGGTTGACAGGTCCCAGTCGCCCAAAGAGAGTGTGAGTGCATGGGGACGGTCTTTGTATCTAGGAAATAAAAAGTAGATTAGGCAGTTGTGGCTTACAAGGAGGAGAATATTGTATATACAGGTACTCCCCGACGGGGTTAGGGACCGACATCCAGGTCGTAAGTCGAAATAGTAGTAAGTCGGAAATGCTTAAATAACACACAGAAAATAAAAAATTTGGGTCTCTTTTTCTTCTCAGCACCACAAAACACTCACTTTTAAGCTTCCTAGCCATTTTAAAGTGAATTACAGATGAAAATTTTGTCTGTGTACTGACTTTGGGACTCAAAAATACATAATTTGACCAAATTTTGGTATGACTGAGGCAGGTCATAAGTGTGGGTGGACATAAGTCGAGTCGGTCGTAAGTCGGGGAGTACCTGTATATACTGTACATGGTAGAATCTGTATAAGGATTTGTTTCTGGATAAATGGGGTATAAGTCATCATTAAGAGGTACTTTTACTAGCACCAGAAAAATATATAGTCGTTATAGCAGAATTTTATCTGGAAAGCCAAGTATTACACCGTATATCTTATCTGAAAAGTTAAACAACACACGTCATGTGGTATTGGTCTTGACGTATTTGGAAATGTTACGAGAGATGAACTGCCATGATGTATACAGTAATTTGTTTATCTTATTTGCAGAGAATTAAGAATATATATACTGTACTGTACTATGCCAACCTACTATATTCTAAAACAAAAAATACTAAGAACACATGTACTGAATAATACAAAGGGGAATCTTTCATGGTCAAAAGACATTACAACTTGGAACTAACATACACACTGACAGAACAATCACATCCTACTTAAATTGCCATAATACAAAATAACCAACATGAAGTCAACAGATAAAACGTTCACTGTTTCCCAGTTTATTCTTCACAGAAAAACCACTGTAACTGAAAAAGGTGAAGAGGCTCCATGATGGGTATTCCTTAGTTAAATGTAAACATCTAATTAAAAAAAAACTATTAGTGCAGAAAACTAATACAGCTAATTTGTTTGGATTAAGTTGTAAGATCGTGAAATAATGTGAGATTCATTTACTTACTTTTTTGACAGCTACAAGTGTGATCTCCTGTTAATCTAGTCCTGACCAACACTGGAATATATTGTAGCCTATTGAGGTAAATTTTAAGTCATTATCATCACTACTTTAATCAGTTATTTTTACCATCACAAATAGTTATCATCACTTACGAGGAGACACAGTGAGCAGCGGTGAGAACATGCTGGTCGCCGATGATGGAACCCCCACAGTGGAACCTTCCATTGGTCGTCATAGCCACTTGCCAGGGAAACTCGTAGATCCCTGCCACTTGACCGAAGGTAATGCGGTTGGAAAAGATACTGCGTGGTCCTGTGTCTGTCGTGGAAAAGAGAGGATACCTAAGCGAAATGAATATACTGTATATTACAATGCCTGAAGTAGGTACAATAAGGAGTTACCTGGCCTATAACTAGCTGTGTAACATTCTCATTAGAACTACCCATTCACTAATAACTGCCACTGCAAAATAAGTGTATGATCTATTATCAAATACCTATGCAATTGAAAAAAAAACATTAAGAAAGTAAAAATGAACTTACAAAAGCCAAAAAGCGTATCACTAAGGTCTGGTCCTCCCCAAGATCTGGTGTTGACTATTCCTGTGAAGGTTGGCACTGAGCTAGCCACAACACCCTGTCGCATTTCTACGTCCCCTTGTTGCACTTCAACAGGAGACTTATTTGAAACCCTAGATCTCTGAGTTACAATTTCTGTTCTGCGCCTTGTATTCACAGGTCGGCGACTTCCACTTTTGCGTCTGCCAGTGAAGGTCACCCTGTCGGGGCCTAAAGGACCAGTAATTCCAAGGCGTCGGGCTGCATGCTGAAAGGTGACAAAAGAAAAATTAACCTATTTTTTTCTTCTCAGTATTGCAGCAGAGGACAGACAGGTAGCTCTCCTCACTTTATCTGGGAGCGGGCAAAGAATCTCACGGGTGTTCTGGCACAATAATTCTTCAAAATGTTGCTTAGATCCCTGATATAATGGGTCACATTAAAGATGGTTGAAAGGTATGAAGTAACAATTAGTTCAGAACTATAATTCACAGAGTAAACTAATAATTTACCAGTGTACACACAATCAAAAAAGTATCTGCACATTTTATGCACCAAAGATGATGGACATTGCAAATTGCCATATATCGCTTGCTAGTGACATTTCCTGTTTTATCCACAGTAAATATAATTATTATATGTACACTCAAAAGAAAATATGGTAAAGGTGGAGGAGACGGTTAATAGTAGAAATTATGTATCAAATGGCACCAAAATATCTGGGGATGCTCTTTGCTTACTAAACATGAAAATGAAAATGCACAGAACCTAACAGAACCTGACCGAACCAACCTAACCTTACCTAGCTTCCTAACCAGGGGCAGAGCCCCTCAGACCCCCTGGCACAATAAACAGAAGAACTTACTTTGATATCTGGTACTAATGAAAACAATTTTCGTAAAGCATTTTTGTGGACATGAGAGCACGATTGGTTGTTGCACTGAAACTCATATTTCCTCTTCACTGTCTGTTCTCTCTGTATTTTGAATGCTTGCACATCTTCCCAACCAGTCCATGTTTACAGATGAGCTCTTGGAGACAGATAACTCGTGATACGATAAACAGCGAGATGCCAAGACGCCAAACTATGAAGGGGAAATCAAGATGGCTTTCTTGCCTCCCCTTGTGGAAGAACAATAAGTATACGAACATACAGTTCACTTATTAACCAATGCTAATCAAAAGAAATTGGAAATGTATCAAAAGCCATATTACTGTATGGGAATCAATTCCAACATTATGATTCTCATCATTTATACACACAAGAAATTGTACTGTAATTCAAATAAAAAGTTGTTGTATCAATTTTACTAGTTAATATCATCCAAAGAACAACTGTGTAAAATATGAACAAAATCCGCATACTCCTGGTGGTAAACGTCTGCTCCACTATTACCGAAAACATATTACTCATGCGAACAATATGTAGCTTGGTTCAGGTTGGTGGTTAAATTGTATCATAGGATAAAAGTAAAAGTAAAAGATCATTTAGGAAATCACCAGACCCAATGTGTACAAATACTTTTTGATCGTGTGTACAAGTTCTCATATAATTCACGGAGTAATTGACGCCTTGCATAAACCAATCCAAAAGAGGGAAGGAGAGAGTGTAGTGGATTCCTCCCCTACAAGCACCGAACCTTCTCGAATTCCCCAGCCTACACCTCCAGCGCCTCCCACGGAGCGGGGGTCAACTATCTACCCACGCCTACCCCCGCCTTATAAGGCCTGACACCGCTGTGACCAGCCTCTTTTCTACCCAGTGCCACCAGCAAGCAACACCTCCGCGCCAGCCGTGCGGCTGCCGCTCCCGCCAGCGACCTTGGCGTTCCTCAAGCCGCATGTCCCTCCTCTGGGCACCCTCACCACCCAGCTCTCTCTACTCAACGCTTATTACCATGCTACCTACCCAGCAACAAGCTGCATTGTACATCCAATACAATATGTATACAGTGAGCACATTGTGAGTTTCCTTTCTCCATCCCATCCTGAGTGTGAACCAATATCTCATAACCCTACAAGAGCACATCCCCCTCTAAACCCCTTTGGTTATTAGAGAACGATGGCCATTAAAGGTACAGTGGTCTTTAAAACTCCATATTCATTACCACACTAAGGTTATTAAAATATTGCTTCTTATTATATTGATTATTGCATCAAGAGTGTTTGCCCATTACTACTCAGTTGTTATTCAACAAATTAGTTATTACAAACACAATTGTCATTACATCCATTACACCACAACCATCATGACATGGATATGGCCATTATAAAACATTGGTAATTATATCATCATGATCATTACAGCAAGGTGGTAATGATAACATAAAAGTATAGTGAAAATTAATGGAGTTGTCACAATACTTACCCCTCTTGTGCCTTGGTTGAAGGTCGGACCCCTGGTGCCACATGATCTGTAGCTGGTGCTGGGAGGGGGTGCTGGCGGGCCCACAGCTGCAATTAACCCGGAATTATTTAGTCCATTCAGTGCCACGTTATCGATACTCAAGCATGAAATTATAATTACAGTATACATCAGTTTATAAATAATTTCTAATCCTCACTGTTACAATGAACATATATGACTGTAAAGTAAAAAATGTAACGTTACAACCCTGCCCGGAACTACCAAACAGGGCCCTCTGCTGTTTTGGGAGGGATTACAGAAAACAGCGACATGATAATCTCTTGTGGTATCTACATTAATTTTCAGTAACTCATTCGATATTTACTCTACCAAGCATAGTAATAATATGGTTCTTGGAACTGATTTGCTTGGATGATTCTTTAATTGTTATTTTCAATATCATTATCACAATTTGTTATTTTCACTATCATTATTGGGAACATTAATGTATTTAGTTATAATTAGGATGGGGAGGGAAAGACACAGAATATACCGGTAGATATTTCAAGACCTGGTAAAAAACGAAATTGTATATGTATATGTATATAGGCCTATATATATATATATATATATATATATATATATATATATATATATATATATATATATATATATATATATATATATACCTGACCATTGTGGACCTGGTCTCACCCTCCTCTGTATATATACACCTTGATTTGTATTACTCTCTCTAGTCTGTACTCACCCCTGAAGATGTGAATTACACGAAAGCGCTTGGGAACTTCGTGTTTTCTTCTTTCCTTGTGGTTATCAGCATATATATATATATATATATATATATATACCTTGTATGAACCTCCAGTGTGTGTGTATACAAAAGGATATCTAGCACAATTTTTATCACAAACGAGGTTTATCGTCTGTAGGTGGATCATAATTATTACTATGTTCAGTAACACTTGTACAGCTACCTCATGTTGCAACACAGTTTGTCAAGGGTAAGTGTGTGTGTGTGCTACCATTGTGTCTCTGGAATCACATGTTTTATTTTATTTATCCTCATTTTACTTACTAGTAGTAGTAGTAGTAGTAGTTACTATTCCAATTCCACCACCGATGCTTCCACTGCCTCCACTTCCTCCACCGCTGCCTCCACTTCCTCCACCGCTGCCTCCACTTCCTGCACCAGTGTCCCCAATGAGGCCTCCACTTACTCCACCACTACCTCCACTTCCTCCACCGCTGCCTCCACTTCCTCCACCGCTGCCTCCACTTCCTCCACCGCTGCCTCCACTTCCTCCACCGCTGCCTCCACTTCCACCACCGCTGCCTCCACTTCCTCCACCGCTGCCTCCACTTCCTCCACCGCTGCCTCCAGTTCCAGTAATGAGGCTATCAACTTCTTGGATTCCCTCGAGGTTCTCACCCGTAAAATCTCTACAGAGGATTTGTGACACCTTCATTTTCCATTTGGTGCTCGAACCATAGGAAGAGTTGAGGTGCAGCATGACCTCATCCGACTTGAACTCGTATATGTCTGTGGCCGAGAACCTTTTGTTTACTCACACATCTTACACGACCTCACTCTAAAGTACCATTTCTTAAAGCTTCAAAGAGAGAGATAATATATTTTCATATGTTTTAGGTCTCATTAAAAGATCATTGGTCACCTTATGTGAATCTAGAGTGGATTAATTTGGATCACATGAAGATTAGACACCCCAGCTTATTTAACCTGATGATCAAAAACCCTAATGCTATGCCTAAGGAAGTTTGGTTAGTTTTTTTTACAGGAATTAGCCCACCCAGGCCACTGATAACATGTCTTCCTCGTATGAACCTCCAGTGTGTGTGTGTGTGTGCACTTACAGGTTCTGCCGGTAAGGTATCCACAATAGGGCTGGAGTTTGCCGTTGTAGATGCCTGTAACATGATAAGTCACGTCCCTGCAGCGGCCATTCTTCGTGGTAGGCAAGTCAACTTCAATCATCTCCACGCTGTCGGTAATAATGATAATTCAGTAAAATCATCATACAAGTTTGCAATTGATTTTAGCATGTATATAAACCATACAGGTATACAGTTCGGCTTGTGTGTTGACATAGTAGGTTAGCGGTGTACATAGACAGTGGAGGTATACACAGTTCCCAAAGCACTGAACCTAAATAGTATACACCTGTACATATTCAACAATAGTAAACAGTAAGGCTATTTGGCCAAGGATAACAATGAAATAGAGTAACTGCAAAAATAAACATAAAGAAAGGTGTGAAGATGAAGAAGAGAGTCGAGAAGAGGAAGAAGATGAAAAGACAGAAGATGAAGAGGAAACATATAAAGAGGAAGACGATGAAGAAGAGAGTCGAGAAGAGGAGGATAAGTGTCTGCAAATTAAAATAAAGAGTTTGAAGATATGAAGTTCTATATCACGAGTCTGGGCTACTGCTCAGAGGGCCTCTTGGTTACTACTACTCAGAGGGCCACTTTTGGTTACTACTACTCAGAGGGCCACTCAAGTCTGTAACACCAACAAACATGACCAACTTCTTGTTTTTATAATGTTATTACCGAGCTCCAACAAATAAGGTCTTCAAGAGGATAACAAGGTTAGTAATTACACTATTCTAACATTTAAAAAAAATTATGCGAGATTAAACCGTGTGTTGACCAACTTACCTCACTGCGCAGTATTCTTCGCTGTGCTTGATGACCTGGAAGGAACACGTGTCCTGCAGTTTGTCCTGGAGCGGGTACTGCACGTTCTTGAAGTACGACACCTTCTGCGACGTTCTTTGTCCGCATGTACGGTAAACTGAGCAAAACACAAATATCTTAGAGATGTTTATAGCCATTTTCTGTGCAAGTAAATAAGGTATTTGTACGGTACAGTACTGTTCAATGAGCACAATGAGCCTTCTAAGACAACAGAGAACGGTGTACCAGTAATTAAATTGTAACAAACAAAACTTCAATGAATTAGAAAGAAATGATAAAACTAGAAACTTTAAACACAAGAGGAATGAAACAAGACTAGGGAGAGGCTCGCAATAATACAGTAAGCTATACAGGTACTAATTCTAGTCCTGAGAGAAGCACAGAAATGACACAAAACAAGTGACTATCAGTTAAATTGTCACTTATCTGTACAGTATATAAAAAGCATCAAGTATGTTTGCTTGTTTATTTATTTGCTTATTGTTAATTTGTTTGGTTGTTTGTTTGCTGGCGTGGATGTTCACTACACACGGCTATAGTTTTGAAGGTAAGAGCTGAAATTTGGTATGCTTATTTTTTACATGTGCAGTTAATTTTATCCAAGAAGGAACATATTACGTGGCTGCAACTTGTCAGAAGTCACAAATGAATGATTATCCTGAGAGAATTAAATAAAATAAGTACTAAACAATGATGAAACACAATCAAATACTTGTAATGCAAAAAAAAAAAAAAATATGAAAATACCTTACAATAGAAAACAAGAAATTCAACTAAATGGGAATCAAATACCTAAGTATAAAGTACATGAAATAAGGAGACTATGAAAAACTCCTATGAGACAAAGATAAAATAGCAAGAAATAGGGATAAAACACAGACAAAAAAAATAATGAAACGGTAAATTCCACAGAATACCATGAAATGAAATATGACAAATGAAAACAATGGGGGTCATTCTAAGCAGCATATTAAGAAGAGATTAGGGTCAACAAACTGTACATTGCTTGTCCCTGTCTTCTCCTACTAGTCTAGACCAGTTAACAGCATCACTGACCCCTAACCCCGGCTGACTTTTTGTGGCTTTGAAGTACTGCTGGAATGACTATCACTGGGCTCCATTTAGTCGAGTATCACCCAATCTAACACTTTACTGCCTGTATACCAAGAAACTACGCACACGGTATTAGTAATGTTGTTGTTGTATCTCGGTAAACATACAGTAAGCATACGTTTTCATTTCCCACCCAATTTTTATTTCGTAATCTGGTAACCTGGAGGACATCAATACCCTGTGTGTGCATGTACTCCAGAGACGAGCTAATACTGGACGTGATGTTGAGAGGAGACAGAATTAAGGTAAAGAGGACAGTACATATAAAGTTAACAAAGGGATGTTTGAGGAGGGAGAGATAAAATGTAGATGGTTAGAGGATGTATAAAGCTGTAGTGATAAGTAGAGTGTGAAGAGAGAAGGAAGGGAAATGAAAGGTAAGGCAGGTGAGGATAATTAAAAGGTGTAGTGGAGTCACCATCAAGAATCTGTCTAACAGTTGGATCATGGGGTACAGGGGAGAGATCATGGGGTACAGGAGGAGGATCATGGGGTACAGGAGGAGGATCATGGGGTACAGGAGGAGGATCATGGGGTACAGGAAGAGGATCATGGGGTACAGGAGGAGGATCATGGGGTACAGGAGGAGAGATCATGGGGTACAGGAGGAGGATCATGGGGTACAGGAAGAGGATCATGGGGTACAGGAGGAGGATCATGGGGTACAGGAGGAGAGATCATGGGGTACAGGAGGAGAGATCATGGGATACAGGAGGAGAGATCATGGGGTACAGGAGGAGAGATCATGGGGTACAGGAGAACTACAGTGACAATGTCAACACTAATTTGGTCAGATGTATCGCCATGCCTCTAGCTAGTTATAAAGACAAGCGTGACTGAGGACTCTTTGAGAACGTAGCGCAGTAAGACTCACAGAGGCAGCACAGTCCTTCTAGTCCGGAGCAGAAGTTGCCGAAACTACCAGCTAGCGCTAAACACTCAACCTCGCCGTAACAGCTGCCCATCTCGTCTTTGTAGTTACATACCGAGTTGCCGAATACATTGAGAGGGTTTAACAGTACTGCAAGGAGGTAGACAGAAGAGGTAGTTTATCATAATTTGTAGAGGAGGACACTGTTGACAGAACTGTTTACCTTGTGACAATAACTAAAATTTAGCTAAATTGTACAGACTTGGTAAAAACAATGTCGTTCAGATGACAGGTATGGTCTAACATAAAGTGATTAACAGATGTATTTGAGCAGCTAACTAGAAATCAATAGATGTAGCCTACATTAATACAGTAAGAACACAGATACACTAGTGACACAGACAAGGGAGTGGTATACAGTAGTGTTAGTGTACAAGGAGAAAGACCTTACATCTCGAGTGGCTTGTCGTGATTCTTCCTGTGTGATAGAGGTCCAGGTCAGCCGGCAGCTCCGACACGCCCTCTACTGCCAACCCGCACCACCACCTGCAGCGGGTATCAACTGGTTAATGTGATAGTGTGAGGTGCATCAGGTGGAGAGAGAAAGAGAGAGGAAGAATTCAGAGAGAGAGAGAGAGAGAGAGAGAGAGAGAGGAAAATTAGAATGCAGAAAGTAAGGGAAGTGGAGGGAGGGAGGAAGGAGAGATGAAATGCAGAGGGATATATATATATATATATATATATATATATATATATATATATATATATATATATATATATATATATATATATATCAACATCTCAATCCTGGCGGGTTGAGGTGTTGATTGCATGTAGAAGTCCGCGTGCTATTAATGATATATATATATATATATATATATATATATATATATATATATATATATATATATATATATATATATATATAAGGAACTAAACAGAGGGGTTAACAACACGAAATAGCCTTAGAAACGTAAATACACAAATGTATCTTCCCTTTAAGGACACGAAGAGCACATTAGCATCTCAACCAGAGGGTCTACTTGCCAACCATCACATCCCGCATGACTTTCCAAATCCCTGACCACCAATACAAACTTTTTCCTACATTATTTTTTCTTCTAATATATATATTTTCTCAGTCCCTATACAATTTTCATGTCATACAACCTCAAAGCACTCGTTATCATTCATCTATAATCTAGAAAACTAGTCTGTACCTGGATGGGGGATTTAATTCAACATTAGACTGGTTTTGTGGGAGCATAAAACCCCCTGTATACTGTAGACATCCCCGCACCATGACCCAGCACCTTCATGGCTGTCAGTGTTCACCTCACCTCACTCACCATTTACAATAAAGGACTCATACAAGCCTGTTTATCATTGGTTTATATTAATCCTTCATCTATCTTTCACCCTGTTAAGAGAACGACTGTCTTGCTAAAGCTGTTAACTATGCTGGAAGACTAGATTTTTCTGATAGACATACCTGAAGGAAAGACCTGTATGACTGAACATTAAGAAGAAAACTGGTCTTTCAAGTTTAATGTCAAACAATCCTTAACCCCGAGAAAAACTATATACATCAATAGTGTTGATATTACTGACACCGTGACATTAGGCTGACCCTGGTTATATAACAAGCACCGTGTTTCGAGGTCATGATATGTTAATTGGAATAACTTATATTTCTGTGGAGGATAAAACGTCAATACTAGTAGGGAGTTAATCCTTCCTTTGGGGCCAGGATAGTTGTGGTGAATAATATTTTTTATTAATGACCCCCCCCCCACACACACAGCTACACATGAGAATTTACTAAGATACGAGTTCAGTTTCTCCCAAGACGCTATCGAATTCACTTAACTTCCCCTCCTCCTTCCCCTTCCCAGCCCTGAAGGTGAGTAGTGGGCAGAGGAAGGTTAAAGGAGGACCCAGGATATTGACCCCCACCATACCTGCCTAAAATACCCCAGTGACACCTAATACCATCCTGGCCAATAGCTGCTACACTACACCCACAACTACACCTTCCTCTACACCCACATCTACACCTTCCCCTACTCCATCTCTACGATTTCACCTGTACTGTCATTTATTCATTTACATTCCCATATATGTACTGTATATTTGTAACGCGGGGTTTCGAGTATTATCACCGTATTCTCACATGCCCATTTTTTGTTATTCAGTGTGGTTTGTGGCGTCACTGTAGCCATGAGAGGAAGTCACAGCCAAATCTTCTGTATTTACATGACAACAGCGTCACAGTCGTGTTTACCATTCAGAGAGAGAGAGAGAGAGAGAGAGAGAGAGAGAGAGAGAGAGAGAGAGATGGGGGAGGGGTGGAGGTGGTTTGGCTGGCAACTATAATTACGAAGATATTTTGAAGTTGAATACAAGTGTTTGTCCTGATATTTCTTAACGAATACACAAGTTATATATACTCATTATATTCAACACTTAACAAGGGGTATAGCAACAATTCATTATACTCAATATTAAACATACAACATCCTAAAGTTCATAGGTCAGTGATAGAGACAGAGAGTTCACTAGCCCTTGTACACAACAGTAAATAAGAACACAATCGGATATACGCTTCCTGGTGGCGAAACAACTTTATGGTGTAGCAGCATCCAAGTATAGGCGAAGTAACCCACTAATTACTCAGTGTTAAGAATCAGATGACCACCAGGCAACAGTACAAATAATATCCTCTGGTCTGACACAACACTTAGGCTCCAGGATCCTCATATCAACAAGAATACTGAATTGTTGTAGTTGAAAGAGACGCCGGGGTAGAAATACTCGTAGAGAGAGCTTGTAGAACCAGTCAGGTGAACCAGGACGTGGGAGGGGAAGAGTGGAGGTGGGGCAGTGGCGTTGTACTGTACCTGTGTGTGGGAGGGCGGCGTGGTGACCGCTGATAGCACAGTATAATAAATATGTGTAAGAGGGAGGCGTTTCTGTCATGGGCAGGGCGTGTATACTAATCACGAGGACAGACACACACAGGAGTGAGTAAATGGGGATAAGAGGAGTGAGGAGTTGAGATAGCAAGGAAAGGGGTAAGAGAGCAAGATAGTGAGTAGAAATAGGGAGGGGGAGAATGAGGAGATAGAGAAGTTTAATGTGAGGGACAGGGAGACGGAGTGGCGAGGATAAGAGGCTAGGGAGTGAGATGTTGTTGGGGGAAGAGTGACGGAACCAGATTTAAGTAACACACCCTCCAGCTCTCAAAGGATGATATACTGTACTGAGAATAACGTAGAAAAATTAGTTCACCTGCATAAACATCGTAATGAGACACCTCGAAGCCACAAAGTCGCTCATACGTGGAAATAATCACTAGTGTACATTAGACAGATGTAAAGCCACTGCATTTCAAGAGAAGGCCTGGTGTCTTCTTTAGCCAGCTGTCCAGTACACGTTAGTATATCGTATTACTGCTCCTCTTAACACCCAGTCTCTATCATCTTCTTTTGGAAATATAATCTACATCGTGTCAGACCTTGAAAGAAAGTTGGGTTAGGTTAGCTTATAACGTTACGATTTGTTTTTAGGATATAAAGCCTTGTCCCCATAAACCTCCTCCACATACGTCAAGAATTAAGTCTCCATTTTTTAAGACAAGAAGAAAGAATAATGTACAGACGGGTATTCTAACTCATGTCTTATTAAGGTGGGAAGATGAGTGTCCAGAACACCTACGTTGCGTAACACCGTCCCTTAACCACAACAGTTAACACATTCTTGGAAGATGAGTCAACATCCTTTAGAGGCTAGAAAACAGCTAACCTCACTCCACATACCCGCAGTACTACTAATAATATCAGCTGGCCACCGAACTACCACCGAGGCCTTGTCTTGCCTTACAGGGATGACTTCTGTAAAGACGACAGCAGCATACATAAGGGTCTACTGGAGAGAGAGGTTATACTCTATACCAAAGGCATCTCCTATCATAATACATAATTTTAAAAAGACCGTAAAATAACATACAATAACACTACATTAGGTCTTATACACTCACTTAAGATAACAAACGCTATCATCCGTCACAACCTCAAGGGAACATCTTTTCCCCAAAAAACTGAGCCGCAAGTTTATGAGAAATTAAAATTGCGAGAACTTATGGATGAATGACGTATGGATACAGCAACAGTTGAGGTGATATTTCAAGACAGTGATGTAGGAAGCGCCCATTATCCATTTTTTTTCCATAGACAGATAGACAAACACAGAAACAGACAGACAGAAGGACTGAAAGGAACCCAATATAGTTCTTTGTATACCCCCTGAGCCAATGTTCCACCTAGCTTGTTTTGTACCACCTGGGATGACGAAAGATGCTACTTATCATCATAAGCCTTGTATGATGAATGGCCAAGGTGGGGGTGGGGGGTTACTACTGTCTAGCTATCCTCTTCTGGAGAGATTTATGTTAAGCATTTTATCTCTCATTGAAGGCAAACCTGCAAGTCAGGTCGCTGTTATTGTGGTGAGAGGAACAAGCCCGTGTAATGACGAAGTCGTTTAATTTGTAAAGATATCAAGAAGCTAATAAGTTTTTCATAAGCTCTCAAGAAGTACACATAAATAGTTAAAGAGTGGTGGTGGTGGTGGTGTTGGAGGTGGGTAGTGAGGTCTTCAGAATAAAGAATTGAATAAGTTTGCCTCGCCCATTGTACAGTTAGACTTCACCTCACGTTCACTTTATGCACGTTCCTTTATGACACGTCCTTTAAACACGTTCACAACACACACACACACACACACACCTATAAGAGTTTGTGCAAATATCACTCGAATACTTATTACCTATTGTCCTATTCAGTTCAATAAATCAATAGCTGAAAAAAGTCTGGTTCCAACAATACCGATACCTGGAACTGAAGAAAGGGTCCCTCTCTCTCTCTCTCTCTCTCTCTCTGGATACTCTTAACATATTGGCAGATTTTTTCTTATTATTATCATTATCTTATTATTATTATTATTATTATTATTATTATTATTATTATTATTATTATTATTATTTAGTTTGCCGGACAATAACCTTTAAGCTATGTCAAGTATTTCCTTCCTAGACTCTATTGTATGTCAACAAACACTAAAGGATGTGCTATAAACCCAACAAAAATTCCAGTATATTATTTTCGAGGTAGACCATGTGTAAAGTGGAATGTTTTGCGTGTCAAAAGGTCTTACTGCACCCTGTAGAGTCGCATGTATATAAAACACATTCTTTTACACTGAAAATTATTAAGATCTGAACTGCCCCGTCCGAGGCATTGCAGAATCTCCCCTTGCTCGCCCACGATTAAAGACAACTATTTAAATTTCTGACAAAGGGTATCGAGTATCCAAGTTTTTTTTTAATGTTATGTTACCTAATAATAACTACAGATTAGATTTATACGTTTATTTTAGCTTTATAAAGTATTATTAGTGTACGTTCGAAAAGCTCATTCTCATGCGTTCATAACCGCATCAAGCGTAATCAATTTATAAACAAACTCTCTTCTCTGAGTACTTTATTA